ACTTACAACAGTTCCGACTACTGAGAGTTCTCTGTGTCTGAAAGGTCCTTTCTCCTCTTCACCTACGCACACTCCCCCCGTCCTTCATTAAGACTTTGCTCCGCCATCTCCTCTGGGAAGCTTTTCCCAACTCCTGCTCCCGCCCACCAGTAGCTTCTGCTCCCGTGATGCCCTAGACCTTCTTGCACTATATATTGCTTTGTTGTTTCCTGTTAATTAGCTTCTTCACTAGATTGTGAGCTCCTCAAAGGTAAGGACTTGATCTTACTCGTGTTTATTTCTTCAGGGCCTTCAGTGTAAGTTTGCTGAACGAATGGCTGAGAGGGCTCTGCAATAAGCACCCAAGGGAAAATACATAAAGCACGTGCTCTGCACAGAGTTCCAGGGAGGACTGATCGCTTCCTGCCGAGAGGATGAGAGGAGGAGTCAGAGGGGAAGTAGGTAGGCAGCCTGGTGTAGAGCCGACAAGCAGGAGTGGACAGCTAGAGTTGGGACGACTGGAGATCCAGCATGAGCAATAACAGTGCAAAGAAAAAAAGACGTGTTCTTGGCTGGCAAGAAGATATGTCTTAGTTAGTTATTGCTGCGTAACAAGTACCCCAAAATGTAGGCTTAAAACCCAACGTTTATTGTCACACACAGTTTCTGTGGATTAGGAATCCAGGAGAGTTTAGCTTGGTGTTCTGGTACGGGGTCTCTCATAGGGTGGCAGTCAAGGCCTTACTGTGGCTGGAGGATCTGTTTCCCAGAGCACTCGTGGTGGTTGGCACGTCCTCTGTTCCTCAGGATTATTGGCCGTAGGTCTCGGTTCTTTGCTGCATGGTCTTCTGCACAGGCTGTCTGAGTACCCTTACATGCAGCTGGCTTCCCCCAGAGCACGTGATCCAAAAGAGAGCAACCAAGAGAGAAACTACAGTCTTCCATAGCCTAATCTCAGAAGGGACATACTGTCACTTCTGCCGTAGTCTGTGGTTGCACAGACCAGCCAGGGACCATGGGAGAAGGGACGATACACCAGGACCTGACTACCAGGAGGCGGAGGTCATTAAGATCCATCCTGGAGGTTGAGTGTCACAGCTAGGCTGAAGAGAACCGAGGTTTATGTAAAAAAGTGAAAGAAAGTATTTGAGAAGGTGGGGCAGGAAAGCAGAAGGACTTCATTAACGGACCAAGGAGGTGGCATTTGCACATTAAATGATTTGAGGAATGGAGTTCAGTGATCCAAGTAGTATATTGTTTTAGTACTGATAGAGTGAGGCTAAGCCGGTGAGGTAGGAGGATTGTTGGCAAGGAGACCAAATGGGATAAGACAGCCTTAATCCTCCCCATCTGAGTCCCTGGAAGAGTTCTCCCTCAACCGGTGCAAAATAAGAAAAACAAGGACAATGAAAACGTTAATTTCACAAAATTAATTGCATTCAATTAAAGGACTACCTTTTATCCTGAAGACTACCTTTTACCTTTTCTTCATCTTTCCTACTCTTTTTATGTTAAAAATGCACTTTCGTTTTTGAAGAAGGTGATAGTAGATGGTTAAATATAATTAATGTCATAACTTGGCAACCTTATGTCAGTCCCTAAAATTTAAAAAAACAGCAACAACAAAACTACTGGTCATGAAATTCGCAAGTGTGGGAATCACTGATCCAGATTGTTAACATAAGGAGACTGATACCCAGGAAGAGTCACTGACCTGCCTTGGGGCACTCAGCTAGTGGGGGTCAAAGCGGAAGCTAGGCTCCAGGTCTGGTCAGTGCTTAACTGATGTGAAGAACAGTTTGTAAGCATGGTGAGGGTGGAAGGGAGAATTAAGGCTTTGAGTAGAGGCGAAGCGAAGACAACCAGTATACACAGAGAGGAGAGTGAAACAGATGTGCAGGAAGAAATAGACCGAAGACGGAAACGCTGACAGCTTGGCTTTCCTGCATCCAGTCCCTCCCTGAGGCCAGTGTCAGGAAAAGTTGTGAAAGCCTGAAATGGGCAAAAAAGATTACTAGGTGTCTTGGGGCCGTCTTTAGCTACTTTACAGCTCCGTAAGTTGTGGGCTGCTGACAGTAATGCAGATGGTTATTGTTCACAGAAATGCCAGTCATGTTATGGCGACTCAGCTTACTGCTGCCAGGTGGGTGTGGTCCTGTTTGGCTTTTATTTGTAAATCCAGGATTCCTGGTTCTTGTGTGTGTGCGCATGTGTTTTGAATCCTCTTTGGAACCAGTTGTAACATCTTTGTGGTTCCCTCGTTCATTGATGGGTTAAGTAATATCTTTGACCTGTGTTTACTTTGTTTGTACGAGAGTCCCCGGGAAGGCCTCTCTTGGAGCAGTGCACGCCTCTGTGGTGCTTCCATGGAACGAGAAGGCGGGGCAGGGGTTAGAGCCCCCGCTGGCTGTGAGCAGGTGCCTCAGGGACAGTCACAGCTCACGTCCCTACAATGACTAGGTTGAAGATTTGGAAAAATAGGGTATTGGTTCAAAAACTTTTTAGACTTTAATGTTTTTAATATATACAAAATAGTTAAATGTTTCTCCCTCACACAGAATAGAACTTGTACTGTGAGCAGTTGGTTGTAACCCATCTCTAGATGCATCTTTCCAAAAACTTCTTATTCTAATTGAAAACCAGATGTAGCAATAAGACACGAGTTAAAGGATCGACGTTCAAGGGAGAACTAAATAATGGCCTTCCCTTCTGGTCAAGTTTTGTTAAAATGTATGGTCTCATCATTCTGGACAATTTAAATGACTGTGTTTTTACCAACCATATCTCTGTTGGTTCCCGCTGCCAAGTGATTATTTACCTTGAAATAATAATTTTGTGGGTTTGAACAACTGAATGAAACTTTGTTAACAACCACTGCCTGGTTGTTGCTCTTCCTGCAGCCTGAAGCTGGCTGGTCCTCTGGTGCCTCAGGACTGGAAGAGACAGGGGAGGGGAGGCCCATAATGACAGGCCGTTTCCTATAATGTTTGGACTTGCTGTGCAGATTGGTGGTGTGGAGGATTGGAAAGCTGCAGAAATCTTCTCATTAGCTCTACTTTTGTATACAATTACAATATTGTTTATATCCATAAAAGAGGAAATAGCAGATTATACAAGCCATGAATAATTTTGGCTACCTTTTGTAAGGACAGATATAAGAAAAATCAGCGTAGCTTTATTATTAATTCAAGAATTTTTAACTCATTAAAATGGGAAGGAAACTAACATTGACTGTGTCACACCTTGCTGTGTGCTGTATATCCGTCTCATCTCACTTTGATTCTCACGCTGTTCCCATCTTACGGACGAGTGGAATGAGACCAGCAGTCACGTAAGCAGAGAATGGGGTAACGTGGCTTTGACGTCGTGTCTGTTAACTCCTCAGCCTCCGTTGAACCAGAACTTTAAAATATTTTAACGTTCCCTGGTTCTTAATTTTTTTTTGAAGGCCACTCCATCAAATTATCATTCATAATACTTACCTAAAATCAAATGTACATGTAAAATATTAGCAGTGAACTTGGAGAAGCATCGTAAGTTCAGGTATCGAGTTAAGTACAGTCACCCACACTTAACAACAGGGACGCGTTCTGAGAAACGCGTCATTAGGCAGTTTCGTTGTTGTGTGGACATTGTAGAGTGCACTTACACAAACCCAGATGGTGTGGCCTACGACACACCTAGGCTCTATGGGACTAATCTTAGGGAGCCACTGTCATATATGCAGTCCATTGTTGACTGAAATGTCATTACGTGGTGCATGAGTAGCTGAAAATTCAGCCTGTTCAATAATAACCCCTCTTTGGACCCAAAGACGTTTTTCCTCCTTACCCAGTGGCAGGATGAATCATATGGCTCAGTTTCTTTGCCTGCTTTTCTGCACAGTGGGTCTGTTTCTCGTCTGCCTGCATCTTGAGGGTGCAGCCCTGGGTTCCCAGGCTTCTGTGGGGTTTCTGTTAGATGCCCCCTTTTGAGCACGCCCTGGGTTTTGTCTCGGTGCCTGGTGCCTTGTATTGCTGTCAGACTTGAAGCTGGAGATGGCCAGAGGCTTGCACAGACTTCAGGGAAATTGGGGCTTGGCGCTCACCTCCCACCTGGTAGTCTCGCTCTCATTTCTGTTATGGCCCCGTGACACCTGGCTTTCTTGCCAGCTCAGCAATTTATTTTGAAATAGTTTTTTAAATAATTTATTCAGCATTCTTTGTTTTCAAGGTAAGGGTTGTATATCATATTGCCAAAAATGGAATGCATTGTATTTCTTCTTTATTGTTTTTGTTTTCATTAATTTTAACTTTAAAAAAGAGGGAGAAACTTGGGTGGTTTTTTCCCTAAAGAAGTAATGTTTAGACTTATATAAAAATAAGGCTCGATGTTTATCCCAACATATATACGTCTGTTCCTGTATACACATATCTTCATAGAAATGGCCCAGTAAGTCTTAGTTGTGGTTGTTTCTGTGTGTCTGCTTTTTTATGTTATTTTTTTGACTTTATATACCATAATGAGTATTAATTGCTTTTGTAATAAGAGAAAATAATCCAATCACTATGGAAAAAAGATGGGACATTTTAGAATAAAAATAAAATTGAACCAACACAGAATATGAACAAACAACCGTGAGACTATCTCATATGCATGTTGTGCCTTAATTGATTGAGGTGTTTTACATAGAGAGATGTTCTGGACAACCCGGAGCGTGTGCATTCCAGCACCAGAGCCTGTTTTGCTTCCACCTTTCGGTAGAGACGTTGTAACGGCTGCTGGGCATCTCCCCACCTTGTTCCTGAAGCCTCTTCCATAGTGTCGGATTGTATGGCCCTGCACTCAATAATCCCAGGCTGCCAGATAACATAGTAGATCCACTTCCTAAATGTTAAAACCATAAAGTATGTTTCGGAATAGTTTTCTCCCTCACTGTACCCTCTCTATGGCAGGTTTTCTTAAACTTCCTTAAATTGGCTTCTTAATAGAGAGGTCAGCTAGAATCATCACTTGGTAAACATCATTGTCTTCTTTCTCAGGACACGGAACATCCAAGGTACCTGATCCCGGAGCTTTGCAGACAGTTTTACCACTTGGGCTGGGTGACCGGCACTGGAGGAGGGGTGAGCTTGAAGCGGGGGTGAGTCTCTGGCTGGTTTCATTCCTGAGAATGCGCCACTTAAGTCGACTGCCGAGAGCGTAACGTGGGCTGTGTCCGGAGAACAAGTGAGGAGCAGTCCTAGGTGGCACTGAGGGCGTTTAGTGTCTAAATGGAGAAATGGTCGTTTGCATAACTGAGTGGAAAGTGTGCAGAAGTTGCAGTTATCATAAATATCTCAGGATTTAAGAACCACGATTTCTAATCAGGATAGTTTGGTCCTCCGTCTTTGGAGTACCGGAGTTAAGAAACGTGCTGCCTTTAGTCCCACCTCACCTGGGGTTTCACTGTCTGGGTTTCAGTTCCCCTGTTAAAAATGGAAATAAACAATTCATAAGTTGTGAATCGCATACCGTTCTGAGCAGTGCAGTGAAATGGCACACCGTCCCTCCCAGGGCGCATCCCTGTGTGCGGGGTGTCCACACTGTGTTGGCTGCCTGCCTGTTAGTCACTCAGTAGCTGTCTCGGTGAGCATATCGACTGTCCCAGCATTGCAGGGCTTGTGTTCAGGTATCCCTTTTCTTACTTACTAATGGTCCCAAAGCCAACTTTATTATTACTTATTATTGTTAATGTCTTATTGTGCCTAATTTGGAAATTAAGCCTTCTCATAGGTGTGTATGTGTAGTATACGTAGGGTTCAGTACTATCCACGGTTTCAGGCGTCCACGGGGGTCTCGGAACCTGTTGCCCATGGATAAGAGGGGACTGCTGTCTGTTCATATGTTCATACGTCTGGAATTATAAAGGATCCCATCTCGGTAGACAGGGTTCGTTTCAAAGGTTTAGATACATATTTTAAAGTCACTTAAATACAAATGAAACCATTAAAAATCCTAAAAACTACATTTTCTTGAGTCAAAGGCAATAGGCCTTTCTAAGCGCATGTATCCTTCTTAACGGACATGGCACCTGCTGGGCTGTGTTCCTCAGAGGCCAAGGCGAGGTACGAGGTGCTGGACTTAAGTAGAAACAGGAATGAATAGTATTTAGTTGTTCATCACATGGATACAGTGTCTTTCCTCCAAGAGGATGAAGAGAGAAAGAACTTACAGTAAAGACAGGTGGAATCTCGTTCTCGCAACTGTTTCTGGAGGAGGATTATTGCTTTTCCTCCTGAAATGTTTTAGGAATATTATTGTCTGGAGGCTGAGTGGTAAACTGAGTGACTTGGTTTCTATCTTTCTTTAACAAACTGGATCACTTCCATATTTACTATTGAATGTATGTAGTGCCGCCCTCAAGGAGGCTGCGTTGTGCAGAAAGGAGTGAAAAGCAGAATACAAGCAGAGCACTTTGAACAAAAGGATTTCACGGCACACCAGTAGATGACGCAGTTGCAATTTCGCGTTCCAAATCACCAAGTAGCTCGTGAATATTAATTGTGCTGTGGGAGGTGACAGGAGGGGCCTTAGTCACAGCTGACCTCAGGGAGGTAGGGACGCGCTCTGCTGCCACGGGACACCGCACGTCCATGCGCACCACCTCTCACCGTCAACCCAGCACTCACGTGTCCGTTCAGCATTTTGCAGGCTTTCAGATTATTTTGGCAAAACTTTCAAGTTGATCTGTTGACAGCAAAGTCCTTTTGATAACATTTGTTGTTTCATTTATTCATTTAGGAGTTGAATTCCAGTAATTTGGTTTTTCAGCTCTATTTATAATAAATCATATTCTAAATGTTGCCTTTAGGTAACTACTTTTTATTTGCATGTAGTTAAATAGTTTGTGTAGGTAATGAAATAGAGTTTTCTACCAGACTGAGTTAAAGTAACCATTTTTCACTGGCTCTTTAAAAAAACAGCAAAGTTAAAAATAGCAGAATTCAGATAAAGGGCCATTGAAAATCTCAAGAGGAGTTTTTTTAATGATGAAAGGACTGTATTCTTTCTAGCAGAATTTTACTAATCTGTGCACTGAAATTGCATGTGGTCGCCAGAAAATACTCACTGGCACCTTTTAAAATTAAGTGGCTTTCCTAGCACTACCCTCAGTTTATAGGAAAGTTGCATCATCTGTGTAAAATGCTTTTTCCTTAGATTCTTAGTGGGTGAGGAGCACCTCCTTGAGGTCGCAGGTGGAAACAGCCACAATTTTATGGCACTATGTTTGGAATCTGTTAAATTTTTACATTACGGAGTAAAATAGGTTTTTTATAGTAAAATGATTAATTTTTCCCTAATATTTAAATGAGTCATAAGCCCACGTCAGTAACTTTATCAGCAATATTATTCTCATGTTGTTAGCGAAAGTTTGGTTTTCTTTGATACTTAGAGCAAATAAATTTGGAATGTAGTGCAAACCCAATAGATTATGTTTCCAGAATAATACTGACAATAAGATCTTTGGGAGTATGAAATTATTTGCTGATTCCATGATTTGCTGATACCATTCCAGCTTATGCTTTTGATGTGTGGTACCAAAAGATGTGTATAAAAGACAGCTTAAGACATTTTGAAGAGTTAAATGGAAGGAGGAAATGGAGGACCAAGAAAATAATAGTAAACAAGGCAATTCCAGGATACTCAGCAGCCATTGTGTTTAGCTTGGGTCCTTACCATTCAGATTTAGCATTTCCTGCTTTCACAGCGTAATATTGGTATGTATCAGACACAGTAATCCTCTTGCACTCTCGTAGAATTAAAATTAGTAAACCCATATTGTAGACAAGACGGTTGAAGCATAGTAAGACTTAAATGATTTTTTTTAATGACTCCATGGTAAGTAAAAACAGAAGCAACTGAGGGACCGGCCCGGTGGCACAGCGGTTCAGTGCGCACGTTCCACTTCGGCGGCCTGGGGTTCGCCAGTTAGGGTCCTGCGTGCAGACACGGCACTACTTGGCACGCCATGCTGTGGTAGGCGTCCCACATATAAAGTAGAGGAAGATGGGCACGGATGTTAGCTCAGGGCCAGTCTTCCTCAGCAAAAAGAGGAGGATTGGCAGCAGTAAGCTCAGGGCTAATCTTCCTCAAAAAAAATAAAAGAAAAAAGAAAAAAACAGAAGCAACTGACCATGGATGTGTTGTGAGCTCTTGGGTTTTGTCCTCCCACTTAGCACATAGTGAAAGAGCAGAGAGAAGTAAATTCCAAATAATACCTTGAAATTCAAAATGCTTTCTGTCTGTGGCTTACGGCACCAAGTGAACACTTCTCTTTTAGTCTCTGGCATGTTTCCGTCCTAAAACAAGAGCTCTGTCATCTTTGTACGTTTATCCAGGTATCTCCTTCTTTGTGGATGTAAATACGTCTTTTCTAAAACCTATTTAGCTAATCTTTTAATTACCCAAAGTTGACAAAAGTCTAAACTGACTTCCATTTTGCAAGGGCAGTAATAAAAAGCAGATGTAGCGGGCTAGTCCAGTGGTGCAGTGGTTAAGTTCGTGCACTCTGCTTCAACAGCCCAGGGTTCACAGGTTCAGATCCCGGGCACAGACCTAGACACCACTCATCAAGCTGTGCTGTGGCAGCGTCCCAAATACAAAGTAAAGGAAGATTGGCCCTGAGCTAACTTCAGGGCCAATCTTCCTCACCAAAAAAAAACCCAGACCCATCATACCAAATCACCTTAATAAACAGAATAAATACCCTGGATTTTCCTACTTTGTAAATGGGTTTTATTTTATTTTACTTACCATCAGATTGCTTCGTACTTTATTTGGGTCTGTTTCCAGGGCTGCGTAAATTTCTCCCCACACAAGAAGACCTACGAGCCCACTTACCAGTGTGGTGATTAGCCTGTGTAACGCACGGGATTCTAGAGTTTCTTCTGTGTTCCCGAGGACAGAAGGTCTGGATACGTGGTGGTGTGAAAGGCCCTGCCCGTTCCCGCTGAGTGCAGAGGACCGCTCTGGTTCTTAGCACAGAGCTCTACAGCACTGGCTACTTCGTGGAAACAGATGCCTGCCGGTAGCTCACTGTGTTCTGGTTCTCACTCCATGGTCAGGCTTCTGTGTCCTAGACCCTAATTTACCAGTGGACTCCACGTTTTTGTCAGTTGCAAGTCTATAGTTTGGTTAGTCCCCTCAGCTTTGACAGCTCGATTCGGTCTGGGCCGTCATCCTCATTTTCACGCGAAACAGTTAATATTATTTGATGTCCCTGTGTCCATGCCTCAGTGGCAGAGGCTGGGTGTGCAGGGGCTGGCGTTTCCCTCCTTTGCACATATGTGGCAGCTCTTTAATGCCGTCTGGCAGCAACTGAAACTGATAAATGAGTCAGAGGACCTTGTTGAGAGCGAAGAGAATTTAGGGACGATTTTGGACTTAATTTCCAAATCAAATTTGAGGGCACCTTGTGGTGATGGTAGGGTTGTAGCATCTCTTAGCACAACATCCTGCAACAGAGATCTCCAGACAGAGCCATTCTGTTACATTTGTAGCTTTTGCAATTGTGCTAGCTTTATTACCAAATATTTTCACAAGACAGATGTGCTTTTCAAATAGGAAGTATCCTGTCCCACCCAGAAGGTAGCCCAGTATTAACGTGTAATTTAGTAAACTGTCCAGCAGAGGTCTCTGAACGTCATGTTTTATCATAAGAGCATTTCAAACAATAAAATTAACCTGATTCCTTGCAAGACAGAAGTGTACTCCTGGTGAGCCTGTCTTCTCACGTATAGTAGGATAAACCCTGCTTATTCATGCTTCAAGATGGGAAAGACTTGCATTTTCAGAATTTTATTTTCCCTAACCAGATGAAAGCCTGTTTACCCTTGATTTTCCACTATAAGATGAAATAAAGAAATGTATGTATGAGGACATGGAAGACAAAAGCAGCTATCCGTGTTTTACTGTGTTGCGGGCAGTACAAAGGCACTCTGGTAACTTGTACTCTTTCTGTGCAGCCTGCACCCTTAATCAAGCAGCTGTCTGTGGGACTTGATTTGTAAAGAGCATAACGATTGTACTACAAAGATACACTTTGTGCAAAAGCAGAACATTAGAGTTAAATAAATACCAATTTCTACATTTTGTGTTACCAGCAATGAAATCTACATTGCTCCATCAGGAGTGCAGAAGGAGCGGATTCAGGTATGGTAAAGGGGTCCTCCTGAAACTCAGATGTCTTTTCTTCTCTACTCAGTTACTGTTGGGTGAAATGAAATTAATTTTTAAAGAAATGTTAGTTTTGAAGAGTGGTTATATTGTGATAATTTAACTTTAAGAATAACATACCGTGCTGAGATTAACATTTCTGAGTACCAGTTCAGTTTCTCAGGGGATCAGAAAATTCCTCTTATGTTATGAACTGTGGGGAAAAAAATTATAACACCCGTCTTAGAATGAAGGTTTCTTTGTATCGTCTCTCTGAAGTATAGTTGTGAAACTACAAGGGCAGAGTTGAGAAGCTACATTGATAAATGACAGCAACATGATTACATACATGTTAAATTTTACATATCACTGTAGTCTTCAAATTCTAAAGTAAGGTTTTTAACACTCTTGAGAATATTTTTATTAGTAGAAAACATTTTTTATTCCTCAAAATGGCTAAAAAATTTTGAGAGAGAAACTATATGTGAATATTTAAAATATGAGTTAAATATATACATCTATCTTAGCCCTCTGTGTGTGGATAATATACGTATAATACATGTTCTGCACACACGAAAGGGGACATTTCTAACTGATATTGTATAAGCCTTCGTTTTTCTTTTTCTCCCTCTGCAAATAGCCTGAAGACATGTTCGTTTGTGACATAAATGAACAGGATCTAAGTGGACCTCCAGCATCTAAGAATCTAAAGAAAAGCCAGTGTACTCCTCTTTTCATGAATGCTTACACCATGAGAGGTAGGCAGAAAATGTGTGTGACATACAGAATATTGGCAGTTTGTTGTTGCCAGCACCCCGTGGGCCGCCGAGCTGAGGCTGCCGGCGCTGTCAGACAGGGCTCCGCGCTGTTCACAGGGTTCTCACGGCCGATTTTTTCGGAAGTGGGTGGCCAGGTCCTTCTTCCTAGTCTGTCTAGTCTGGAAGCTCCACTGAAACCTGTCCGCCATGGGGGACCCTGCTGGAATTTGAAATCCTGGTGGCAGAGCTCTCAGCATCACAGCCACACGCAGCCACCACAGTGTGACAGTGTGTGTCCCTGACCGGGAAGGGAACCCGGGCCGTGGCGGTGAGAGTGCCTAGTCTTAACCACTAGCCCGCTGGGCCGGCCATTTGCAGAGTAGGCTTCCCTAAATAATAGTAATTATTATTCTGGTTCACATTTCTTGATTACCTACTTTATGTGCAGGAACTCTAAGTGTGTTAACTCATTCAGCCCTCCCGTCAGCCCGTGGGGAAGGCCTGTTACCATTTTCTATATGAGAGGACCGAGGCTCGGGGAGATTTCCCCAAATTAAACAGCCGGTGAGGATAAGGGCCAGAATTGGACCCAGGTCAGTGTGGCTCCACTAAATTGTCACCTTGACTGACTAAATGTTGTATTTCCAATCAGATTCCCACTCCTAGGGTAGAGGTACACCTCTGAGACCTTGTAGTAGCATTTAGTCAAGTTACAGATGAGAGAGAATTAGGGCATTTTCTTCACTTCAGTGGGCGTGGTGCTCTCTTTTTGAAGCAGTTACTGTGTGATCGAGTGGGAGTCTTGCTGTAATTCCCAGAGATGGCGGTGGGAAACCAGCCTGGGAGGGTTGAGCCTGTGGGAGGGTGAAATAGGAGATTACTGCTGGCGTGCGGGCTGAGCATCACAGCGAGGTCCCGGGACCCATGTGAGGTCCCCTCCAGGAAGGGGTCGCACCACCCTGTTCCTGGACCTTTGCAGCTACTGCTGCCAGGATGGCACTTGGGGACCAGCCTCTCACAGCAGGAAGCTCAGTGAACTTCCAAGGCAAAAACAGCCATTCCTGAATTTTATAGCCTGTAAATCCTTTTTAGGTAAGTCTATTATGTCTATACCTAAAACTTTTTTCCATCCCTCAAGTTACCAAGACATGGCCTGTGCTGTGAAGCCTAACCTGTGATTAAGAGTCTCGCCGACCTGGGTTCGAATCTGAGCTCCGCCACCCTATCTGTGAGCGTGCACACATGGCTTAGCATCTCTGAGCCTCCATTTCCTGGCCGAAACTTGGGGAACAGAGTTTACCTCTGTGTTGGCTGTGACGATGCCGGGAGATACCATGTGTAAGGGCGATGCCCAGTGCCCGGCACACAGGATCCCCATTAGTCGTGGTTGCACTGTGATTGTGATCTCCGTAACTGTTAGAGCTGTACTTCAGGCCATCTAACAGATTTCTCGAGCATGTGTAAAGTATTGTGGATTGTCCTCGTGCTGGATAAAATTTAATTATTTTGCTTTCCAACTCCTCTATCGTTATTTCTCTCTTCCTCCCTCCCACCCTCCTCCCCACTGCCGACTTACTATTCCATGCCGTAACACTATTAAATGTATTTGTGTGTGCACACATATGTGTATCGTTTCTCTGAAAGGTGTAATTTGGTTTTCATGAGCGTGTGCCTTCACTCTCCCCCCAGGGGCAGGCGCGGTGATTCACACCCACTCGAAAGCTGCCGTCTTGGCCACCCTGCTCTTCCCAGGACGGGAGTTTAAAATTACACATCAAGAGATGATAAAAGGAATAAGGAAATGTACCTCGGGAGGATATTACAGGTATTTTTTTCCGTTTTTACTTAATAATTTGAAAAGCGTTTTTCCTTCTTTTGATCTTTTTATGCATTTAATGAGATGCTTGCGGGGTCTCTGTTAAATGCTACCCCACTTAACATACATGCAGATCTGTTCTCAGTGACACAAGTCAGATGCCTCCTGCCCTTCCTCCCCACCGTCATTCGGCCTTGGTAGACTGTCAGCAACGCTAATAACAAAACGTTTGTCAGAGTAAAAGGAAAAACCGTGCCTGAGATTTCTAAAGAGAGGGGAAGATGCTGTTCCTTTACTGAAGAACCCAGAGAGCAGAATCTCCTCACTCTCTCTTTGTCTCGGGGAGTTTCAGCCCTGACTAAAGTTTAGACTTCATTGTGATTTAATTTAGTATTTCTAAAACATTTTTATATTTAGAAAAGTTTTATAATTATTTTAATTAAGTAGATCTCTGTATTTTTATAATTTCTCAGTATGGAAAATGGCATAGGTAGTATAGAACAGAGGCCTCCTAGATAAAATCAAATCGGTCCACCAGCACACAGAAGTGTAGGAATTATCCGTGAATCCAGAATCCAATAACGTGAAGACACGTCCTCTGCTCAGGTCCAGGCCCCACGTGTCATCTGAATGTGTTGGCCTTCTTTCTCCTGAACCCTCACCCTGTGTAATTCCCTAAAGGGCCTGATCCTGCCTTGTTTAGAGAAAAGGGTGTCATTTTTCCAAAGTGTTCAACATCTTATTGTTACCGCATGGCACAGAATGTGCATGTTTAAACTAGTGTGCTGAGAAATTGATTTGGTTTCGGTTAATATTTATCGTGTGCCTAAAGCATTCTTCAGCACTGTGAGACCCCTGTTTACATACATTGAATATTTAAATTCTGAACGAGCACATACTAAAGATAGCAGAGCCCCCTGTTGCCTTTTCCACATCTGGGCCCTGAAGGAGTGGCATGTCGTGTGCCATCAGTGTCATCAGCATTTGATTGCTTTGGTGAAGAAGTAACATAGATGAGAAGGACCTGTGAAGAAAGGGTGAGTGGAGGGACAGAGCACGTAGACAGCCTTTGGGATTTTGTGGAAAAAAGGACATGAATGGAAAAACGCTATTTCTTATGCATCATAACATACATATTTTGGATATTATTTTGAATGTTTTAGAATTTAAAGAATGCAAGTTTTTTTGAGCTGTTCTTTGCAATTCTGGTTGAGCCTGGCTGGGAAGTCAGTAACAGGGTCATTATTTCAGCTCAGGGAGCAGTCATATTTCATCAGAATTGGGAGAGAATCCTAGAGTCCAGTTTTCGAAAGAAGGGGCAGTGAAGGCTGGATGAAATAAGAAAGGAGGGTTTTGATATTCTCTACTGTATTTTTTTTTTTTTAAAGATTTTCTTTTTCCTTTTTCTCCCTAAAGCCCCCCGGTACATAGTTGTATTTTTTTTTTTTTTAGCTGTGGGTCCTTCTAGCTGTGGCATGTGGGACACTGCCTCAGCGTGGCTCGATGAGCCGTGCCATGTCCGCGCCCACGATTCAAACCAACGAAACACTGGGCTGCCTGCAGCGGAGCCCGCGAACTTAACCACTTGGCCACGGGGCCAGCCCCTCTACTGTATTTTTTTTAAGTCTATCTTAGGGGGAAAAAACCTTTCAAATAGCTAATTCTTATCAGTGGAGGTTACCACATTTAAATATGATTTCTTCCCTTTTGCAAGCAACATGACTGTGGTGGAGAGAAAAGAACACTGTTTGAAGGCCACAGCACCATCCTGACACCCCGACTCTGTTCCTCCTCTAACTGATAAGGATTGGTGCTCTGTCTGTGAAACGGGTGGCTTCGATTAAATCAGCTTTCTGGTCTTATTTTGCCCTTGAAAATATGTCCGACTACCAAGTATGTAGTGGAGGAAAATAGAAGTTTGTGGTTCTCCTGGCCAATATTAGGAAAGATTTTGAACCAGCAATTCCTTCCTTCCATAATTAAGAATGTTTTATAATTACCTGTGTTTTACGTAAGTGAGATAATGAGCAACTCCATACTGCTAATGATAATGGCTGGCCAAGTTACTTAACACATGATTGCCCCTTAGCCTATACGTGCCCTAAAGGGGCACTTTCTGGTAATACTTTAGCTAGAACTTTTTTTTTCATTTAGCCCTTACAGAGGTGGTGAAAAAGCAGATGTTACATTAACAAGGCAAGAGAAATTCATGTGACAAGGAAAACATGTCTGGCTTTTGACTAGTTATAAATGACCTCAGGGATAGACTTTAAATTTTACCAGTAACTAAGTAATTTGCTTAAATATTATTACGTGAATAAAAAGGAGAAGGCATACTCATCACAAGGTAGAAGTAAAAGAAATTCTAATGCCACAGATGTGAGAATGTTCTGGAAATATTATCATGCCTTCAACAGTTGTCTCCAGAAGGTTCTTGCTATCCCAGTGCCGCAACCCATGCCTGTGTCTATCTGCCCCTGAGACACTTTGAGTCCTGCAGAAATAAAATGATTTTATATCCTTGGAAAAATCCTACTTAATAAGAAGTTCAATTGTTAATCCTTCTTCCTGTGCTTCTAAGATCTGTCATTTCCCATCTCCTGTTAAAAATACTATGATGATCTCTGCTTCAAGGAAATGCTTGTATGGTCTTGATAATTTCTTTGAGAGGTTTTGGTATCCCATTCAAATTTCTGCCACTTTACTGAGGATTAGAACAGTGCCTGCCAGATTCCCAAGGCGTCTTTTGATACCAATGTTTATGCAGGATACACAGAATAACATGCAACATCTTGTTCCTAATTTGGAGTGGCTTTCCAGATGTAAAGAGCATGTCTAACTGGTTACTTGACAAATATTTAAATTTTACATGTGAACACCTTTATTTGTTTTAATGGGGAAAAAAATGGCTTTTTTTGTCTTACAGATACGATGATATGTTAGTTGTACCCATTGTTGAGAATACTCCTGAGGAGAAAGACCTCAAAGAGCGAATGGCTCGAGCCATGAATGAGTACCCAGACTCCTGCGCGGTTCTAGTCAGACGGCACGGAGTGTACGTCTGGGGAGAAACGTGGGAGAAGGCTAAAACCATGTGAGTATAAAGCAGCGAGCGTGAAAGAGGACAAGGCATGTTTTAGGATTTAAAATAAAGTATGATTTTTCATATGTTATTGGTTTAAATTTAAATAGTTTATCATTATTATTTCTAGACATTTGATTTGTATTATGTATTCATTTATTAAGAACTGTGTATTGGATAAGGTATTATTTAGCAAAGCCCTGTGCACTTTGATACAAAGAAGAAAGAAACACAGATCTTGTTCTTGGAGTTTAAGGCTGGCAGGGAGAATAAAGCAACCCAATTTAGGTGATGATTTGCTGCATTCATTGCAAAAAGTGGCATAGAGTGAAAACTCGGGATTTATGTTAATATATTTTAAACTCCCCTTTATTTCCTGAGATGTATATAACGTGGTTGCATGATCAGTATGATTCCCCTCCATGTTTTAATAATGTTGGGGGCAAAATAAGAAAAATTTGGCCTGGGAATTGAGAAGAAAATGTACCTGGAACAGGATTAACCTGATGGAGAGGAGAAGTGTGATTATCAGGATTAGAGAGCTCAGTTTCCCTGAAAACCTTCAGTTCTTTCTGCTTTTTCTTTCACAGGTGTGAGTGTTATGACTATTTGTTTGATATTGCCGTATCAATGAAGAAAGTAGGGCTGGATCCTACACAGCTTCCAGTTGGAGAAAATGGAATTGTATAAGCCAGTGGAAGTTTAATTATATACAGAGACAACGCTTATCTTAATTATTACTTAAATGAAACTTGACTATTTTTTTAAATGAATTGAAAATTTCCATGAGGGCTGTTAATTTGTCACTAAATATGCAGATGATCATCCTGACTCTCTCTGACACTGGATGATATTTTCTTATATTCTGGTAATTTTAAATGACAATGCAGTGGAATAAAACCTTTATAATGAACTTTTTCTGTTTATTTTTAAATCCTTAACAACAAAATATTTTCCTTTAAATTAATTCCTTTTTTATACCATGCCCAGAGAATTCCTCTTATTCTTTAAAGTTGCTGGTGATAATAGAATTCATTGGAAAATTTCCACTTAATTATGGAACGAGCATTTTCTTGTTGATATTGGCAGGACATTTATGTGAAAAGTTAAGGCCAAATATATCTTTCAATGTTGATGTCAAAAGTTTTATGGATTTCCCCTATATGCTGTAATGCCTCCCTGTAAGAAAACATAGGACACTCATTTTATATTGGGGATTGATTGTGAAATTCAAATTCAAAATATGAACTCAGACTCTCCTAGCCAGACCAACCCTGACCAAACCAGTGATGTAATCAGAAAGTGCTTGTTTTTTTTTAAAGATTGGCACCTGAGCTAATATCTGTTGCCAACGTTTTCTTCTCTTCCTCCTCCTCCTTTTCTCTCTCCCCCCACCCAAAAGCCCCCCAGTACGTAGTTGTATTTTCTGGTTGTGCCATGTGGGATGCCACCTCAGCGTGGCCTGATGAGTGGTGCCATGTCTGCACCCGGGATCCCGACCAGCAAAACCCTGGGCCACCAAAATGGAGCACACGAACTTAACCACTCAGCCAAGGGGCTGGCCCCCGAAAGTACTTGTTTTAATGTAGCCAAAAGCAACATTAATTTGATCATAAAAGTTTTATTTGGGGGCCGACCTGGTGGCATGGTGGTTAAGTTCATGTGTTCTGCTTTGGCGGCCCAGGATTCACAGGTTCAGATCCCAGGCGCGGACCTGCACACCACTCCTCAAGCCATGCTGTGGCAGCACCTCACATACAAAATAGAGGAAAATGGGCACACATGTTAGCTCAGGGCCAATCTTCCTCATCAAAAAATAAATACAGTTTTATTGGGTTAATGCTTTTTTTTTATTTGAGGAGAAAATTAATAATGTACCGTCTCCAAAATCTCAATCTCATATACTCCTCTCTTAGTTTATCATCTTTACCCTTTGAGTTCATTTACCCTGGTTCTTTCCCTCCAGCAATTCTCTAACCTCATCCGGATTCCTAGTCCCCTGATCATACCACTGGTCATCATCCGTGACCCCTTTCATGTCCTTGCTTCCTTCCCCGGGAAGCATAGACTGCAGCCTTGTATTTGCACCACTTCCTCACAAACGTCCTACCCGCCTTGTGTCTCGCTCCCTCCGTCATACTCAGCTGGCGCAGCCCTCAGGCCTTGGTAAGCCACCCACTGAGCACCTGCACCCAGGCAGCAAGGCCTGATGGGGAAAAATCACCCAACTGTGTTGACTAATCGCACTTGAGATTTATGACCACAAATCTCAGATGGGCACTCGATACTGCCAAACAGACCTCCTGTATTTCCCTAGTAAATTTGTTTTTCCGACCTCGTGACTTTCTCCTCACTGTTATCTTTCATCCAATCACCGACATTCTGCCCCCTGCCCCATGCTAACTTCCTCTCGTACTTGAAGAGACTAAAAGGGTTCATTGCAAAGAGAACTAGCCAACCTTCCCACTTGACGCTTCCACAGCCTTCCTGCCTGCAGCCTTCTGTGCCATCTCCTGCAGGGTTGGTTCGAAGGCCAGTTACTCCACTTAGGCCTTGGATCCAGTGTCCTCTGAGCTTGAGGGCTTTGCTTCTGCAAGGATCCCCACATTTATCCCATTTCTCTCTTGTACTGTCAATTTTTTCACCCCGTAACTGGATCTTGGTACTAGTATAAAAACACACTGTAATATCTTCCATCTTCAAAGACACACACACATACAAACTTTGCCTTCAGCTAATCCAGCACCTTTAGAGCAAAGATTTTTGAAAGCGTTGTGCACTTTTCTGTCAGCTGCTTCTCTCTGCCTTCCTCCTTGACACACTGCCATCCGAGTGCACCCCTCCACTGAACAGCTTCCCGGAGCAGCGGAGTCCCCCACATCCTCGCCTCCGGCTGCTTCCCTTGCTTCGCTGCTGCTCTAAATGAAGCTGTGTGCCCCTCAGGGCGGTGCCCCTGGTGCTCTCCAGTGCTGGCGGTCCACTTCCCCCTGCCCTGGGTTGGCGTGAGTGAACCCACTGAGCACTGATTGTCTTTCCCTTCTCTTGTTCCGTTCTACTCGGCAACCCTCAGTCACAGTGCCCCCGCTCCTCTGACTGCACCTGTACCTGTGTGCCTTTCTGTAGCTGAAGGGAAACAGCCACGTTCAGGTCAAGTGGCCTTCATGCTGCCTGGGAACTTTGCTTTGTTACCCCTGTCTGGTCATCAACCCCTCTCCTCAGCAACTGTTCTCTTCTCAAACTTCAAACACCTCTTCTCTGCATACTTGCTCTTGGCTGATGACCTTGATGGCCCTTTCACTGAAAAAAGAGAAGCTATCCAAAGGGAACTTGCATGGGCCCCACCTGCCTGCATGTACTCCGCAGTCCACGTGAATGGTCCATGCTTCCCGGCAGGGCCAGCCTCCTCACTTGCCCTCTCATACTCAAGGACGGTGTCCAGAACGGAATTCCTGATTCCTGAAGTCTTCCCCAGCTCAGAGGGAAACTCCATCCTTCCTGTCAGTCGCTCAGGCCGATAATCTGGGTGTCGTGCTTGGTGGTTTCTTTCACGTGGTACATCCAGATGGGCAGCAAATCCTGTCAGCTTGACACTCAGAATGTATGTGGGGTCTAAACTTCACCGCGTTCACCGTTACAATCTGGCCCAAGACCCACTGTTTCTCACCCCAATGATTGCAGCCACCTCCTGACCAATTTCCCCGGTCCCAACAGTCTTCTCAACACGGCAGCCTGCCGATCCTGTTAACATGGACTCAGCCAGTGTCCCCCTCTCCTCAGAGCCCTGGCTCGCCATCTCACAATGAAAGCTCTACACAGTGTCCCCTGGCCCCCGTTGCCTCATTCAGGGACCCCGCTCCTCACTCTGCTCCAGTCACTGTGTCCTCATGGGTCTTTAACCTCACCAGGCACTTTTGCACGTGTCCTTCCCTCTTTAAATGACCTTCCGACACCCACACAGCTCATTCCCCTGCTCATTCAGGTCTCCAAATGTCACCTCCATGGGCTCGTCCCTCAACACCCAGCCCTCGGCCCCACACTCGGGCTCTGCTGCTTTAGTTTTCTGAGAAGTGTTTATAAGCGACTGGCATCCTGTGGTTCCATCGTCCATCTTTGTCCTCTCGCTGGAACGCGAATCCTGTGAGGGCCGGGACTTTGTTCACTGGTGTATCCCTTAGTCCCTTGAGTGGTATCTAGTATATAGTTGGACTCAATAAATATTTGTTGAATGAAAGACCACCTTTTGCCAAAATTAGTGGTCAGTTCTCTGTATTTTACTTGACTTCTCGCAGGGTTGCTAGTGATTACCCAACTCGGAAACATTTTGCTCTGGCCTCCGTGACACCAGACTCTGCTATTTTGTACTTAGTCGTTGGTCACTTCTGTGTTCTTTTCTTGACTATTTCTCCTCTTTCAGATGTTGGAGGGCTACCCATGTTCTCCATCTTGCCTTTTTTCCTACGAAATCTCATTCAGTGCCACAGCTTTAAGTGTGATCCATGTGCTGATGGCCCAGCGTGCTTCATCTCCAACCCAGCTCTCCACTGCATTCCAGACTCTGCCTCCTACTCCTCACCCTTTGGATGTCTAGTAGGCATCTTAAACCTGCCGTGGCCCAAAACAGCGCTGTTGACTTTTCTTCCCTGTGCGATTACCCTCTCCTCACCCGCAAACATTTTCTGGATGCTTATGCCAAAAACCTCTTTGAGACAGACCTCCGTCTTATTCATTACCAAGAAAAATGCCTGACACACGGGAAGCGCTCAGTAAATATCTGTGTTCTGGGTTCTTGGTGGAGGCTCTTCCATCAGGGGCAAATCATTTTGGTCACTTCTGCATAACCTCATTTTCCTCATTTTCAAAATGGGGCTAATGAATGAGGTAAAGTATGTGAAAGAACCAACCACAGTGCTTGACCCATCATAGCTAGTCAACAAATTCTAATTACCCTCCTTTCTATAAGCCCCACTTAACCCTCACAGGAGTGTTCTGAGGTGGGTCCTGTATTACCCCATTTTTTTTTAGATGAGGAAATTAAAGCTCAGATAGGACTAATACGTATAATTTAAGTAAGAGAAAGTATGTATACTCACCACGGTGCCTGTCATCCTAGGAGCGCACTCCAGCTATCCACTTCCTTTTCTAAACACTTCACTTGGCTCTCCTGGAGGTAGGTGTAATGGAGGCCAGTCATGTGAGCTATGCTGCAGCACAGCGCATCTCCCATTGTGTGGTTCGTTACCGCTGGAAATTCAGAAGGATTTGCAAAACCTGATTGAGAGTAGAGGGAACTGCCGTATCTCCTAGTTAATTTTCTTAAAGAAGAATATCATCCCTACTATGTGATTGCCAGGAGCTGAGGACCAAAGGAGAACACAAACACAGCTCTTATTTCATTACGTGCAGAACTTTCCATTCACTCTCATTGAATAAGGGGTTAACATAGTTTAGTCAAGAGTATGCCATTTGTTTCTCAAGTGATTTTAGAGCTGTTGGGTCCTCCCCAGCTCTCTCTTGTGAGAAGTACCTCAAAATAATAGAGTTCCCCGGGAATGTCTCAAACAGAAAGCTAAAGTCGTAAGCCTAGGGAGAGTTTCATCATATATGAATTTCATTTTGTTCAAATACTTCCCTGTTGCTGAACACTGCCGTGTCTCATCAGCAATTCTGGTCCAGGTGGTCAGATATGGGACTAATAATGTTGATATCACTCTTCAAGAAGCAGTTAGAATTCTCCCACCAAGGTTCTTTAAAACAGGGCTATAAGAGAAAGAGAATTTGGTTTTCCTTTCATTGATCTGTAATGTATAATCACTGAATCATCAAGTTTTGGTTGATAATCACTGAATTAAGTATTCTTTTCAGGTTCTAAGTTGTAAGCAGACTTTATCTCTTTCTCTGTCACAGTTCTCTCTGTGTAATTTTTATTGTTTGAAACTATGTTTTCTGAAAATTAAGGAAACTTGACTTAAGAAAAAATAGATATAGTTTTCCTCCATTTGTTAGTACCTCCTTGTTTAAAATTCTACAAGTTTTTAATTATTAAACTTTCAGAAGCCAGAGAAAAAGCAAGACAATTCTTTTTGTAAATGCTGTATTAATCTCCTCTACCATGGTTCTTGAAACTTTCTGATTTAGATTTAAAGATCGTGAGGGTAAAATGAATTTATTCACGTCATTAGAACGGCCCCCAGCACAGGCCAGGCGTAATTGGAGTCACCAGAGCAGTTTCTATTTCTTAGGAGCCCAAGCACTATGGTGAGGGCCTTTAAATACATTATATCCAATTCTGATGATAACCCTTCAAGGTCTTATTACCCCCATTTTACAGATGAAAATGAAATTCAGAGTAAAAAATTTACCAAGATCACCCAGGAAGCCTCTGTGCTTTCCCACATTAAGTCAACTTTATCTCACCAATATAATACTAATTGCTCTTATGGGTGTAAACAGAGCTTTCCGCTTAAAGCATACATGGCTTCTGAGGTAGGCACTAGGGACTTAGGAATCTAACAATTGTTTTCCCCCCTGAGGAAGATTTACCCTAAGCTAACAGCTGCTGCCAATCTTCTTCTTTCTGTACGTGAGCCACCGCCACAGCAACACCACTGACAGATGAATGGTGTTGGTCCACGCCCAGGAACCGAACCTGGGCTGCCGAAGCAGTGCACACCAAACTTAACCACTAGGCCATGGGGTTAACTAGGCCACCTAACATAATTTTTAATATGTTCACAAAGCAGCATCTTTGGCTCTACTGATCTAATATTTCCCAAAATTTCTTTGGGGACCATTTATTGATGATGCATTGGGTTTCCATTTATTATTCAACTGGACAATCAATTTTTATCCTTTTAAATATAAACATAGCATTCTCTTCTGTCTACTATTTTACTTATAATTTCACTAAGTACCTTTTTACTGTCCTACTTATTATTATTTATTATTGCAATAAGGGCCACATCTTTGCAAATGAAACCAAGGAATTGTTTTTTTTTTTTTTGATGTACAGTAGGGCTGCATCTTAGGTTTCAAAGTTGAGTAAAGCGAAAATCTCCAAAAGTCAAAATTACCTTTAAAAATCCTTTAAATCACCCATAAAATATAGTATTATATATGTGATTTGTGAATTTAACCCAGTTTCTTTCATTCTTTCAATGGTAAGTGTTTATCTATGGCCCTCAATCGTACTGTTTTCCTTTCTTGAGGCTGTGGGTCAAGCCATCACCAACCATTCATCTCCCACTCGAACAATGTAAAAATCACTCACAAATTTTTCCATTGATTTCACAAATGTTCACTGTTGACTTCAGGTATAATTGCATCCTCACTTTTAGTACAAGTCAGGAAAAAGGAATACTGCCGTAGTATGCAGTCCCTTTAAGTTAACTTGAACGTGATTCAATACTACCGTAATTAGAACTTGCTAGCTAACTAAGATCCATTCTCTCTCCTCATGCATGGTACTTCCCAATTAATAAACTTTTCTTTCCAATGCTCTAAACATAAAAAGATGGTGTGTGTGTGCGTGTAACTTTATGCTCATTTAGGCTTGTGTTATTTTATAAAAATGGGATGAAAAGCAAAAGAACCCTATTCCAAGGAAATTCAATATATTCGTGTAACAAGTACCCTCGACCAGGCAGTTGTGTTGGTGTTGGATGTAAGGCTCCCAGTTGAAGCACTGATGACCACCTGTAAGTTTATCAGTCGGATGGAAGTAATCTAAAAGACACCACAAGAAGGATAGAACAACAAGAAGGCGAGAGAATGGGAGAAGACCTCCCAGGGCACTGAATGCTCCTGCCCAACCCTGGGTGGGGAATCTTTACCCCTCAAATGATAGTGCTGCAGACCTAGGATAGTAAGCAGATGTCAACAGATGTTAAATGAATGACTCTTGTCAGCAATATTAAAGCAGAAGGGAATTAGGAGTAAAATTAAATGTCTGCCTTACCTCCTCCTCCTAATTCCACTGGGAGAGAATTGAGTCTGGGAATAACCAATGTCTTGTTCACTGTTATGCTGTGGACACAATACGTGTTTGGGACAGAGTTGAGAAGGGGAATTATAAATAAACAAGTCAGTAATGTATCACAAAGGAAGAGGTTGGGAAGAATAGTATAAAATCTTGCTGAGGCAATGAAGCTTATCTGACATCTACTGAATGGCTTTAATTGCTATGAGTCTTCCCATGAGCCAACTATGAATCACTTGATTCATTAACTATATTTAATAATAATGATTGCATAAAATCTAATCGTTTAGTAAGCACTGTCACTCTTCTAGCCATGTTCTCAACAATCCTGTGATTTCAGCGTTATCACCATCCATCAAAGAATGTAAGCTTCTGCGGAACCCGGGCCAGGCCTCTCCATTCCCACAGCCCTGTGTCCACAGGTAGCAATCAAAAATGCTTGGGTTTTGAATAAAGCCCCATGTTCCAAATGAAAGCATAGGTTCAGACAGGCTAACTTGCCCAAGACCTGTGAGCAGTGGAGATGGGAACTTGTCCTGGGCCTTTGGCTCTCCATTCTGTGGTATTTGCCCAACCTGGATGAACAAATATCTCTCAATGCAGCTCTCTGCATTTGACTTGTAAATTTTTAAATTGCTCAAGACAATGTACATAGTGACATTTTCAGGCTGACTTATCTGTTTTCATTCCTTATATACATTTCAGGTATATTCTCTCTGACATTTTAGTAAAAGTAAAATATGTTTAGTCAATACATTTTAACAATATCCATAGAGGCGATTAACATCACAATGATAGAATATTAAGGTATTATTAAAGAAGCAATTATTTGCCTGTCTCCCTCTGCAGTTCTCAGGAATGGACTTAGACAGACCGATACACCTACACATTTCTGCCCTTTCCACTTTGTTCTAGAAGTTCTTCATGGATATGAGGATCCAGATGACCTCTATCTCATGTAACTTAGAAATGTGTTGATTCTGTTTCAAATTCAAACCTCTAAGGGCTTTGCACCCAACCAACACTTTCCAATGGCACTTTCAAAGCCATTCTTTTTACAGGAGGTCAGGTATACTTCTGCCCTTTAAATCCCTTTGTTTTTAGGAATTATTGCAGTTAATTTAATCGCATGACGTCTCTAACTAGTGATCTTATCACACAACGGAATGATTAACTCATTTCAATCTACATTCATCAAGGTCATATCAGCAATCAATGTGTGCTGCTTATAGAAATTTTCTGAAAAAGACTTCTTTCTTACATTTTTCTGGATTTCAAAACCTATTGTAATTTTCTCTTTTGCTTCTTTTTATCCAGAAAGCAAAACTGAACTCATTTCAAGGAGCTGATTTCCCTTTCCAGCCAAGAATGACAGTGTTAAAAACCTTGCTGTGTTGTGAAAGCTGGCCTGTGAAGGAAATTACTTTGGCCCCGGGTAACTTCCTAAGAGTTACCTTTTCGCATTTGCAATGAATCTGAGTCACCACATTCACAAATAAGTGTGAGTTTAACCCAGGCCTTAACTGCTTCTAGCAGATAATCTTCAGTCATTCAACGCCATTCACATATTCTTCAGGCATTTTTTTCTACTTACTTAAGAAAAAATTACCATCTATCGTTCCACTATGAAATAAAAACTTTGCTGTAAACCAAATCTACGTTATACTAAAGGATCTATTATCACTGGTAATCCTTCTTAATGCTTCACACCCTGGGATTTCCTACCAGTTTTCCTTTTCTTCAATTCCTTCTTCCCATCCATTTTTAATTCATTGCTATATTTTTTTTTCCTTTTTGCCTCTTTCTTAGCTCTCTTTCTTTTTATTCTTTAAACATATGTCTGTGGAGAGCAATGATAAAATGGAGTAACGTATGTCAAGGCTTCTAAAGTGGAGCTGGGAGGCCATGAAGGAAATGAGGCTTCTGCGTGCACACCATGTCTCTACCCAGATGGAAGGTGACTTTCAAAGCGTGCTTCACTGCCGTCCTCTTGAACGTCTTTCAAGAAATATACTTATCCCCATAGACAAGAACTTTTTGCCTCAGAGATGGCCTTAGCAACAAAGCACACAGAGCCAAGAGGTAACAGTTGTTACCGGCACCAATCACAAATTTTGCCAAACCACCTGAGTAATTGATTGCTTTTTGCCCTTATAAATCCTTCTCTCCTTTGTCTTCCTCCGAACACACTTTGGGTCTCTGCCTGAACCTGTGTCGCCCAAACTGCAATTCTAACTGCTCAGATTGCTGCTGCTGTTTGAATTGTAGCGAATTTTTCCTTGGTTGACATATCTTTTGTTTTAATCTTCTGTCCTGACATACTTTCTCTCCTGACACCTATATTCTCAGCCTATGTATTAGCATTTTTACTATTTTTACATTGGTCTTGAGCAGAATCACTTAACTTTCTTCCATTTTTTGGCTATTTCCTAAGAGTCTTTTAACTTCTAATTTCAGCTGCTCTTCTTCTATACTCAGTACTTCTCAGTACTCAGGTATCGGTGTGTATGCAGTGGTAAGCAGTGGCTGCGTCTGCACAGTTCCCCTCATTCATCGGACTCACGTCCACCCCCCATTCCATGAGGTTCTGGAATGATTGTCAGTCACAACATCCTGCCCTTGGCTGCATAAACGTATGACCAGGGCCCAGCCAATCACAGCCTTCCCTCGGCTGCAGGCATGAGCACATGATCTGGGCCCAGCCAATCATGGCACACCACTCACCTGCCCACAGAGATTGTTCTGAGCATGCGGTTCCTAAGGCGAGGAGAGCCGCCAGGGCACATCTTCCCTGCCAGACAGAGGACATCTGTCACCAGTTGAAAAGAATGAAAACAGCACACAAAGAGAAGCATAAAAAGTAGAGAGCCTAGATACAGAAACAGAGTTCTAGTAGAGAACTGTCTACTGAAATGTGAGTGTCAGAACCTGGACTCAGCAGTGCCTTTGCATTCACCCTTAGCCTTTGAGTCCAGGGGTGAGCAGATCTGTTTGTTTGTTTGTTTGTTTTTCCACTCAGGGTATTTTGAGATGGGTTCTTTCATAACAGAGTCTTGACTGATCCAACCCTGGAGTAACGGCATATCAAACCCAATGCTGTGCAATTGTACGGAATAAAAGCCTAGCTCACATTAACGCTGGTGAGACTGCAGTCTTTTATCCACGTTCCTTCATGCAGAATTGGTAAATAGAGAAAGGATGTTGATGTATTGGTGTAACACGGAAGTTGTGTTGGCTCATCCAAAATTTTTCTCAGTTCGTTGTTTTAAAGCAATCAGGGCAAGCTCTTGGAATTCATGGAAAGCTTTAGAAAATATGAAAATCTTGGGGGTAAAGCTGAAAATCTGCAGAAGTTCATTCTTTATTGCAAAAGGAAAAAAAAAAACGGCTGATTTAGCAGCTTCACAAGCCCCTGTTGTTTTCACTCTGTGAAGCTCTCTGGGGCAGGTGTGGATGGAGACAATAAGAAGACATTTCCCCCGATTTAAAACAATGAATTAATGAAGAAGCCTTTGCATTGGATCAGAGTCTTAAATTTGGTGAAAATAGAGTCTTTTAGAAGCAAATGCCAAACTAAGGCCTACATCTTAATGGAGTACGCACAACCCCATTGAATTATAAGGAAGTAAATTATTAACTAATAGTGATGTTGGTGTAAATACTAGAAAAGAGCTAACTGCTAGCATTTTATTAGTAATACTATTTTTTTATTGGTGTTCTGCTTATATGATCCTGTAAATTTTTAGTGGTCTGACGCAGCCTTGTGGATCTCATATGCCTTATTATTTTTAGCAGTGTGAATTCTTCAGTAACATATATATGGTGGTTATAGCATTTAGATTTCATTTATATACCCCACACTCATTCTGAAAAGGATTGAAGACCATATAAAAATTCACATAATACATTGATTTGGGAGGAAAAGGAAGGGAAGAGAAGAAATAGAAATATAGGCATTAACATTGAAGGGTAAACTCAAGGCTAAACCAAAATAAATGTTGTAAAGCCCTGTGTTGGTGGATATACTATTCAGATTTTGTGTAAAATCAGGTGCAATTTCATAACAAACCTGTTTGTTAATATTACTATTCATTTCATGCTATCCAGTTGGCTGTGTTTGTTTAGATTGAAAAATAAGAGGATAAACTTGGTAGAATTTAAAAATTTTTACCCATTTGCTTACCAAGGCCTGGCCATTTCAGCTTGATGCTGGATATGTCTGATGGACCAATTTAATTCCAGAATTCTTTCTCCACGGGATTGGCTGAGGTCATTGGGCCTGCACTGCAACTTGACTTCTCCCTCTGTTCAATCCTGCTTCTGTCCCCTCCCTTTCACAGGTGGGGTTACCAACAGTCCCAGTTTTCCAAGGACCGAAGGAGTTCCCAGGATGCTGGATTTTCAGTGCTAAAAACAAAAATGTCCCAGGAAAACCAGAATGAATTGGTTACTCTATCCACATATGTTGACCCAAGGACACCACCTAGTAAACATCCTGTGCAGTAAACTTCATCTCAGAGTCTGATTCCTGGAGTTCTCAGCCTGTGGCACTAGGAAGAGTGGTCTGAGAAAGTAGGTGTAAGAGTTTTGGAGCTTCGCTCACCACCAAGTTGGCACTGAGGACTCCATCTAGTGGGAGGTGGGGCAGATAGCCCCTGGCATCAGGTGATGGTCCTGTTGTTAAAACTTTCACCCAGGGTAAGGTGGAATAGTGTACCAAGGAAGGGAAAACGGGAGCACACAGAGTATATCAGACACCTGAAAATTAAAGAGGAAATAGTCACTGTAAGGCCAGAGGGATTGGAAGGCTACCGTGACTGGTGCTCTGGTAAAAGATAACAACAGGCTAAAGGGGGTTAATACACAAGTGAAAGCCAACAGTGAAAGCCAGAGGGCCTCCTTGGTAGCCAAGAGATCTCATCTCCTGCACTTGGATGGCTGAGAAAGCTGAAGAACAGGCTCAGGTTTTAATCATCAGAGTATCTGAGATTCAAAGAATGTTAAACTCCCAACTAAGGTCTGTCTGCCATGATGGGGTCAAGTCTTATTGGGAAAGAATGGGAACTTGACACATTGGATCGGGAAATCAATATTGACGTCCCTGAAAATCTTTAATTTCCAAATTCCCTGAACTTCCTAAGCCTGCAGAAGTGAACTCCCCTTCCTATTAGGAGCTGGCACTCCTCCTTCGCCTCTCCCCCTAAGACAGAACCCCCCAGGATCTGTTCCCACCTCCCCTCCTGGCCTCAAGGTACATAACTGAGGTTAAGTCACGGAATAACCTAGGCAGGGTTGTGCTAGGTCCCGTAAGAGAGGAAAGGGACCATCAAGGAGCTGCAACACCTGGCTACAGGTACTGGCAGAAGCCAGGGGCGTTCTGTGGGGATAATCTAAGAGCGCTTGACCAAGACAGCTGGGACATAATGCTGGTTATGGGAGAGTAGATTTGTTTTCTTTGGGGAAAGTGGGAATACCCAAGCACTCAACCACTGTGGGACACAAGGTCTGAGATGACATTGATCGCTAAAGAACCAAAGTATCACCATGGCCCCCTTGTTAGAGTGGGGTCAAATGGGGCCAGGTTATAAATGGACTGTTGACCAAGTTCTGGCTTACATTGGGCCCATTGGGTCCATGGACCCAACCCCCACATTGCATCCTTGGACTGTGAGGTGAAAGCTGTCTATCACAGTAGAAAAAGGCAAGTAGAAGCCTTTGAAACTGCCACCTACTCCCATCCTGCCTCCAGCCAAGATACTAAATAAAAAACAAATTCATATCCTAGGAGGGATGGCAGAAATTAGTGCTACCCTTAAAGATCTAAAAGAGGCAGGAGTAGAGATCTCTATGTTTATCTCCACTTAATTCACCAGTTTGGGCCCCTGCAGAAATCAGACAGATCTCCTGCAGGAGAACAATAGACCGTCACAAACCCAACTGCAGCTTCTGTGCCAGATATGACATCCTTGCTGGAGAAGATTAGCATGACCTCAGACACATGGAATGGAGCCTTCGATTTCCTTATCAGAAAAAATGACCAGAAATAGCTTGCCTTTGTGTGAAACAGGCAAGAGTTATAGCTTCCCCTCGGGGCTGTGTTAGCTCTCACTCTCATGATACAGTCCAAAGAGATTTGGACTTTCTGTATCTCGCAGAACATGATATTGATACACTACATTGATGACATTATGCTAAATGAGCTGGGTGAGCAAGAAGTAGCTAGTATCTGCTCCAGTGAATGGGAGATAAACCCGGTAAAGATTCAGGGGCTTGACACGTGAGGAAAAAATTTAAAGGTCCAATGGTCAGGGGCATGCTGGGATATCCCATCCAAAGTGAATGACCAATGATTACATCTCATTCTTCCAAAAGGAAGAAGGAAGCATGATGTCTTGTAGATCTCTTTGGGTTCTGGAGGCAGCATATTCCACACTTAGGACTCCTACTCCAGTGTATACACTGGGTATCTATACTCTGGATGTCTTGGAAGGCTGCCAGCTCTGAGTGGGACACAGAGTAGGAAAGAATTCTGCAGCAGTTCCAGATCATGGTCCAAGCAGCGCTGCTTGACCCTATGACCCAGAAGACCCGATGGTATTTGAGAATCTGTAGTGGGAAAAGATATCATGTGTAGTGTATGGCAAATTCCAGTGGGAGAATCACTATGCAGGTCCTGGACTTCTGCAATGGAAGATCATCTGCCTTCTGAAAAAACCCGAGTGTGCTCCTGAGCCCTGGCAGAGAAAGAACTTTCCTATGAGACACCAAGGGTGAGGGTTAATTTTATGCATCAAGTTGGTCAGACTATGGTGCCCAGATGTTTGGTCAAATACCAGTGTAGATATTTCTCTGAAGGTATCTTTTAGATATAATTAACACTTAAATCAGTAGACTTTGAATAAAGCAGATTACCTTCCATAATATGGGTAGGCCTCATCTAATCAGTTGAAAGCCTAAGGGAAGAGATTGAGGTGCTCTGCAGAGGAAGAAATTCTGCCTCCAGACTGTCCTCAGTCTCAAGACTGCAATGTCAGCTTTTCCTTGTGTTGTTTAGCCTACTGGTCTGCTCTGCAGATTTTGGACTTGCCAGCCCCGACAGTCACATGAGCCAATTCCTTCAAATAAATCTCTCTCTCTCCACACGTGAAAGTGTGTGTACATATAGATCTGGACCTCCCATCGGTTCTATTTCTCTGGAAAACCCCAACTAATACATGAAGCGACCATGCATCCAGAACACTTAACATCGTGACCTGGGTTTTGTCAGAGCTTCCTAGTCCTAGTTCAGACATACCCAGCCACAACTCATAAGATGACAGTGGTACACCTGGGGTCAAGCATGAGCTGGGGCAGAAGGCACAAGCAAGTTGCAATAACAGATGGCTCAGGCTTCCATGCCACTCATTATCATTGCATGAGCACTTCTCCCGTAGCTCACACCTGTGGTCATGTGGTAGCTTCCTTACAACTAGCAGACAGAGGAGGAAAGATCCTGGGCTTGATTTATGCATGGGTCAACTTAGTATGTGGGTGTGGGCCAAAAATGGTCAGCAGTTGCACTATATCCCCACCCAGGGGTGGCCTTGAAAGATAGTGGAGACGTAACAATTCTTCCAATGGAGAGAGCATCAGGTGATGAATCTGGTCACCCACTTTTTATGCACGTAAAAAATGGCCCAAGGTTAACATATACACAGACACATTGGCAG